GTAGTCGACGTGTTTATCTTTTGTCTGGGAATTGTGTTGTCGACAATTACCGCTACTTGGTGCGGTGATAGCTTCGTTTAGAGTGAGTGCGCGGGACTAGATTAGGCTCACGCTCGGTGGACCGTTGCATCGGAAAAGCAGGAGTGCCACCCTGACGAAGAGCCCGGCGTATAAGGTGTTGGTAGCGCTGGGGCGCTTCTAGCATGGGCGAGCTTGTACTGGGTACTTCAAAGTTAATGCCCTGCCTGTGTTTTCGTGTGCTTGACGTTCGTGGGCCCGTGGACGTGGACCCTTCGCGGAACTCAAAGACCAAAAATTGCTCCTTTTTGGACAATTTTTTTTAAAAAATTTGTAACACTGTAAGCTGACCTGCCGATAATGATCTGTCGTGCTCAAGTGGCGCATGCTGGGGCACGCCGGCCGGCCGCTGACACCAACCGCCGCCACGTGCCGGAAAAAGCGCGCTGCCTGCCAGTGCCTGCCAGTAAGCGCGTCAGTTCAGCCTGCGAATAGTGGCGCCCTCCTTGTCGCACCTGCAGGTCCCTGCGGATAACGCTGGCGAGGCCGGGTCGCGCGGAAACAGCCCAGGCCGGGCCGGGCCAGGCCGGGCAACATTGTCACGGCAGCGCGGCACGCGGCGAGCGCAGCCCAGCAGCAGGGGTGCCAACCGGAACGCGTTTGATTGGCAACACTGATGCAAAGAAAGGAGGGTGCGTTGCGCAATCGCCGCTATGCGTTTTCTCCGATTTTGCCTCACTTTCTCCCCCACGACAGCGGCATGTGTGCGTGTGCACGGAAATGGGCGCGGAAAATGTCACCGCCGGCTTTCCCGCCAAAATGGAACGCGGCCCGGCACACTTTTCCAGCCGAGCTAGACTTGTAACAGGTGACTCGCCCAGCCCAAGTGTGCGGTCCGCCAAGGCAGCCAAAGCCGAGGCACCCCAGACCCCTCCCGGTGCACCCGCTGCAGGACGCGCAGGTTTGTGTGACTGATGTCTTCGGAAGGATGTGGGTCAACGCCCCGAGGGGCCCGGGGGCCCAGGGGGGCCTAGAGCGGCCCAGAGGGGCCTAGGGGGGCCCCGCGGCCCGGTGGGGGGAGCAGCAGGCGGTGCATGCGCGCTGCGGGGCACCTGGGGTACCCTCGGTGGAATGGGCACCGTACCTACACGCTGCATACAGCCTGCTATGTCTTTGTCAAGCGCAGACGGACAGGCCGGCAGTCGGACGGACAGACAGACGGACGGCCTGACGGACGGACGCGATATTTTTCACCCACGAAATGAGAAGGTCTAAATGCATTGGGGCGCCGGTATGGCAGCACCCCCGGTGCGCACCCATGGGCAGTAGACTGGTTTGGGGGGCGCCCCTGCGCCTTGAGCTCCTCCAACAGGCCTCAACCAAACCAACAATGCTTCTCGTTCTGGGCAATCCAGGGGGGCATAAGTTGGCAGCATTTGCACTCTTTGGGGCTCACTTGCAGACTGTCCACGGCTTTGGCCCGGCGTGCGCACCAAATCTAGTTTGGCGCAGGACGCGCCGCCCGCCGAACTGCCTCAGAAAGGTCGGTTGTCGTTTTCTTGCTCCGCGACCGGGGGCCATAAGTGCAGAGGACGGAAGCATTGCGCTGTTCGGCTGGGGCTGCACCCCAAATAGTGGAGGGCCCCCCAGGGAGAAAGGGCCCCCGCCTCTGTCTTCTGTCCGAAGACGGGGCCCCCGTTTAATAACGATTAAAATTCAACGTGTTCGGACTTTAAAAGAGTGATGGGCAAACCCGAACTGCATGCTCACCCTGGTTTAAAATTTTTGTTTTCCCTGGGTTTTGCAACCCGTGGGGTTTTTTCTGGCTATTTTAGGCTTGTTTGTTCCCTTAAAGAAGCTGGCGGCAGCTTGCATAATGAACAGCGTGTCCCTATCTGGAGCCGAGAAGCGCCATCCCCGCCAGATAAGAGCAGCCTTGCTTGCTGATGCAGCTGTTTGACTTCCGTGGCGTCGCACCTCGCCGCCGTATGGAAAATAACGGAAAATAACTCGAAAACCATTCACTGTCTTCGGTGCGCAGTGGCGCAGTGCCACACACATTGTAGAGACACCTTCCGCATGAGGGCAAATGGGCGAGGCGAAACACTAAAAACCATAAACAGCGCCGCCGAGTGCCGTATAAATCAAACAACAACAACAACAACTGTAAATTTAGCCGCGCAAAATAAATGCCGCCCTCGGCACGCTCCGTTGTGCAATCTGCCTGAAAGCGGAGCGCGCCGGAGCAGGGCGCCCCGTGGGCCGTGGGCTCCACGCCGCCCTGGTCCCTCTCGCAACCCTTGCGGGCCGCGGGCCGCGCCTCGAGTGCGAGAGAGACGGCGTGCGGCCCTGCCCTGCCGGCCCTGCCCTACCGCAATGGGATTGGGACGCGAACGGCCGGCGAGCACGCCAAGCACGCCGAGCAGGCAGCCCGGCGAAGCCACTGGCAATACACTAGGCACACGGTAGCGCCTGATTGGCCGCTACATGCCGCGCTGCCGCGGCGGGGTCGCCGTCAGACCGCGCCGTCAGCGACTTGAGCGACGACGCTATTGGCAGCGAGCATCTCCTGCGAATAACACTGCAGCCCATTCACGAGCCAAACTGGTCCAGACTGGCCTCCCCCACGGCTCGGCGCAGCGCGGGCACCTGCCTCGGGACCATTCCGAAAAAAAGCTTTTAGCCGCTCCGTCCCGCTCGCACGCGTGGGGCCCTCCGTAGGCGTGCGAGAGAGACAGCGCGACAGACTCCTGGTGGAGGAGCGCGGCCAGTCTAGATGGTATCGCTTCGAAGCGCCTCGGTCATTTGACTTATTAATTTATAGCATTACGAAGCGGTGGCGCAAGCTGTATTGGCGGCGGGACGCCAGGAACAGAGCCTCGAACCGAGCAGCCAGACAGACAAACGTTGGCGGCAAACGCAATTCATTTTCACGACCGAAAAGGCACCTGCTCTCTCAAAATGACTTCATCGATGTTTTTAAAACGTAGAAGAATTCTCGTCCGTTCACTTTCCGTTTCGCGGCAAGTACTCACTAACAGTGGACGGACGACGTGCGTTGCATTAATCATAAAAAAAATAACAATTACCGCCTGCGAACAATATGAGCAGTGCGACAGGACAAAAGGCGCAAAACTAGGAGCACGTCAAAACGGTAGGCCGGGCCGGGCCCGCGTGCCGTGGGCGGCACTCATTGTAAGCTAATTGAGTTTCCCCAAAGGCCCGCGCGAGGCGCTGTAGTGCGTTATGCCGCTCGGACGAACATGGCCGGCACATGTAAGGCGGGAACGTAGAGACTGCGTCGGGCTGCGGTCGCGCGGCATGCCTCGGCTTGCCTTGGCGCAATCGGCAAATTCGCCGAGTTACGGTGTGGCGGAGACGTGCCGCACAGTGGGCCAGCAGACCGGTGGACGCGGCCAAAACTCTAGACGCGTTTTGAGCTCCAGACTCGCTAAAACAGGCCTCGAACTGAACGTGTGACCCCGCCAATGGATTCCTCGTTCGGAGAGCAATCCATTGGTGGGGTCACACGTTCGGTTCGAGTCCCATTTAGCGACTCTGGAGCTCAAAACGCGTCTGGGGTTTTGACCGCCTACACCGGTCTTCTGGCCCACTGTGTGCCGCCCTGCTCCTCAGCCACCGTGCGCGCTGCCGCGGACGGGGGGCTGGGGACCCGGCCAGCCGTGAAATTGAGGAAATCAGCCGGTGGACTTCGGCGTGCCTTTGGCGTGCCTTTGGCGTGCCGCCGCGCGGCTTTCCTCGTGGTCCAGCAGGCGTCGCCCGGCGTCGCCCCACCCTGCGGCCCTCCGGACGCCCCGGACGCCCCGCGAGTGCGAGAGAGACGGAGAGCGACGCGACCCCGGCGTGACGGCGTGACGCGGCGACGCGGCGACGCCCGGCGTGGCGGCGCGTGGCGCCGCGAGATGGTTATCGGTCAATCGCTTGATTAAGGCGCTCGGATGGTAATGTCGTGGTTCATTTAGCACGGGGTGATGCCACTTTCACGTGCTTTTCTCAGCCGGCCCGGCTCGCACCGGCCGCGGAGCCTCGGACGTGCCGGCGTGACAATACAATGGCCCGCTGCGAGGCTGCGAGGCACTAGCGTCGCCACTAGCGTCGGCACTAGCAGCGCAGGGCCTTGCAGGGCTTGCGGGGCCGTGGGGGGCCGCGACGCCGCGACACGTAGCATGAGTGTGCATGAGGGCCTCGACGACGACGGCCGCGTCTGGAAGTCTGGATTCCAGTGACTTGCCACCACCAGGGTGCTGGACCGTGGCAGGGGTGCACAGTGGGCCAGAAGACCGGTGGAGGCGGCAAAAATCAAGACACGTTTTGAGCTCCAGAGTCACTAAATGGGACTCAAACCGATCGTGTGACCCCACCAACAGATTGCTTTCCGAACGAGGAATCCATTGGTGGGGTCCCACGTTCGGTTCGAGGCCTGTCTAGCGACTCTGGAGCTCAAAACGCGTCTAGAGTTTCGTCCGCCTCCACCGGTCTTCTGGCCCACCGTGGGGTGGCGAGCCACTCGTGTGTGACTGCCGTTGTGTCATTCTTCCGATCACGTTGCCCCCCACGACGACCACTTATCAGCGTAGTGGTGCGGACGGTACAGTTACCGACCGAGGGGACGGTCTGGCTTCGCGAATAGGGACCATTTGCCACGGATTGGACGCCACGCCCGGATGGCACGGAAATGACACAAAGGGACGAACCACCTCGGCGAGACGCGTCGACGCGTCGAGTAACTGTTCGTTCCACTGCTTATCTCGGACAAATACGTGGAGCCGCGTGGCGCATACGGCATGAGGCGCGAGAGAGGTCGCTCCACTTTGGACCCGTTCTCGAAAATGGGATGGAAGGCTGTCTAATTATTGCGGGCATTCCGACCAAAGATGTATCGATCGGGGAGATCCGATGCGTGTGATTGCCCGTTGTTTGTCGACCTGTCAGTACATTTCCCCCTTTCCCGTTTGTTCCAGGTTGCCACTCGTCCTGGATGCCGCCCCAGTGCTCGGCCCGCCGGCAGCAGCATGCCCCTCGCCAGCCCCGGCATCGTGGTGGCAACCCTAGGGGCGCTGGACCCGCTGGACCCGCTGGCGGCCATCCCCCACATTGACAGCGACGAGGAGGATGGGCTGGCCGGCAAGACGCTCCCCGCGGCCCAGGGCGGCGCCTCGCCGGGCCCGCCGGGGCCCCCGCACAGGGAATGCCTGCGCTCGGGTAAGTGGATCCAAGTGGAAAGCATTTTGAACCTCTGGTAGTCGCGGAATGGGCAGAGTCCCATCTAGCAGGGCTTCCCAAGGGCTTCCCTCGACGTCCTGGTACTCGTTCCTGCCCCGCGCCTTGGGAACGCCCCCACCTCAGCTAGTTGGGGAGCGCCGGCCCCGCAGAGTTGCCCAAAAAGTGATAAAATCTCTGAGACGCTCCTACTTAGCAGTGCTTTGAAAAATAACAAGGCGTTGCGTTTAGCCTCCGGAACTTTGGGGGATGGTGAAGTGTCGCGGTGCGCTCGGCCGTCCGGCCTGGTACCGCCGCAGCCCACGCAGCTGGTGGTTGTTATTAGTGCTGTGGGTGCAGCCGATGGTGCAGGGGTAATAAGTCCTTGGTGTAATACCTGTTCTCACCTGGCCATGCCGGGCCATGCCGGGCCATGCCATGCGCGGCTTGGCCAGCCCATCTTATCGACACTCCTACCCACGACGGTCTGCACCCCGCCCCGCCCCGCCCCGCCCGCACCGGTATGAATACTTAATGAAGCCGTTGATTGAAGTACCCGATTGCATCAAAAAGACACGAGTTTTCTGTGTCCGAGGAAGGCTGTGGCGCGCTGTGGCAGGTACCACCAGGCCGCGGGGCACAGCGCCCAGGGCGGGGCGGGGGGGGGGCGGGGCGGGGCGGGGCGGGGCGGGCGGCGCTACCTGGGCAGGGCCCGCCTAGGTGTTTATGAGCCGTGACCCCAGGGCCAAAACTGGACGGAAGGGTTACCGTGGGCGGACCCATCCGGGCCGCGGCCTGGCCGGGCCTGGCCCATGCCTGGCTAGGCCCGGCCCGGCCCCACCCATGCATAGCACAGCGCGGGCCGCGGGCCACACCGGGCCACACTGCAAAACTGCCATTCCACCCCAATCAGTGCAGCGCGCGCGTTTTTGGCGCGGGAAAATTGAATGACGCGGTGTGTGGTCGCTCCCGTGCGCGCGCGTTTGTGTGTGTGTTTGTTTGTTTGTGTGTGCGCGTGTGTGTGTCACCCTAACGGTGGTTTGGATCGGGCGGCCCGATTCCCGCACCACTCGCGCGCCCACGCCCCGAAAGCCCGTTTAATTCGGGCTGATTGCGATGAGTATGATTGGCTTGTCCATTCGGACCCTTGGGCCCCTTGGGGCACCGACACTCCGAGGCGGGCCTGGCCCGGGCCTGGCCGGCGCCCACACACCCACCTGTCACGGCGGCCGGCGAGGTGGCGGGGTGGGAAACATCATTTCCGAGTGTAAGTAAGTGGGCCGTGGCCGCGCATTAATAGCGTCATGATGGGGGAACGGCAGGCGGGCAGGCCTGCAGGAAAGAGAGGGAACTTCTGTCAGCTTCCAGTGGGGGGAGCGAGGCGATTTGGGTAATGAAGAATGAAGCACACTGTGAAAGAAAGCGCCGTTTTGTCGATTTCGGCCGACTTTGGCAGTATTCTTCACAGTGGCGCTGCTCGACAGTTTCCGACTTGCTTCCGCCTGCTTCGGCCGGTTCACGGTTCACGGCCGCTGGGCGGGACCCCCTGGTCCCCGAACCCTCCCCGCCCCGGCCGGGCGTCGAACCTCTATTGCCGAACCGAACAGTGCGGACAGTGCACCTTGATTTAACTCATTTGACTACAAACGCGCGGCGCGCAGCCTTTCCCGCGGACCCCGCAAGGCAGGGCAGGCAGCCCAGGCCACGCATTGAGTCATAGAGCGCCTCGCACTGCACCGCGCGCACCGCGCTTAAAGCCACGGCCACTTTCACGCCGCAACTTCATTTCTATTACGCCGAGTGTTTTCCTTGCCGATGCGGGGCGGCGGCGCGGCAGCGGGGCGGCGGGGCCATAGAGAGCGGAATTCGGCTGGCCGGCCTGCCTTCCGCGCCTTCCGCTGTCCGCGCCGTCCGCGCCGACCGTGTATGAAAACGTTTCCGCCTGGGGTGCACTCGCTCCCCTACTCACACACACACACACACACACACACACACACACACACACACACACACACACACACACACACACACACACACACGGAGGAGCCTTACCTCGACCTGGGCAGAAAATAGTTTGCACCCGCAATGCAGCGCCCCGGGGGGAGGGAGGGAGGGAGGGGGCACATGAATTCGAATGACAGCGGCACCGAGGGACTGTCTCTCTCGCACTGGGGCAGTCAGACAGACAGACAGACAGACAGACAGACAGACAGACAGACAGACAGACAGACAGACAGACTGCCCCCGCACGCGATGCACTAGGGGCCGCCAGCGCGACAAGCGTGCCCCGGTGCCCCGCGCGGCGGGCCTTGCCTCCGCCTTGCCTCCGCCTCGCCTCGGCCTCCGCGGACGGGCTTGACGTTGACGGAACGTTCCTTGACAGGCGGTGACTCGGGCGGTGATGATAGCCCGGTACACTGCGCCCGAAAAGAAGCGGGCTGGTGTTATCTTAATAAGGCGTTGTTGGTCTTAAGGCTCGCGAACGGCGCGGCGTGTTGTTGGAGTCGGAGCGTATACCTGGCGCGTTCTGCGCGGGAGTGCTGTGCTGTGTGTGCGCTCGGGCTGGCGGGGCCACTGAAAAATATCACTGTAGTAATTTTGCGGGTTAGCAACCCTCTTGGCCCGAATTGAACCTTTTTGGGAGAGACGACATTTCGCTTCGAGGCCTTCGTCTGGTAGTCACTTAGTCTGATTCCGAACTGAGGTCGACGTCGCTCCGGCTCTCTCGCACTCGTGGGGGTCCGCACGGGGTGCGAGAGAGACGGAGGACGACGGTTTGCCAGCAGCGCATGGCAGTGTGCTGCGGGCCCCACACCACACCAGCCACCCAGACCCCCTAATGAAGCGGCCGCAGTGACGGAACGTGAGGCTGAACGCTGTCTCTCTCGCACCCCTACGGAACGCCCCGCGAGTGCGAGAGAGACAGACGGACCTTCCGCGCGACGTCGCACCCACTTAGTGCGGGGCGACGCGATGCAGTGCACCAGCCCGGGCCGCCGATCCGTCCGCGTTGTCTCGCATTATTTGCCTCGCTTCTCCACGTGTCTCCACGTGTCGCTGTTCGGGGAAAGGGGAGGGGCTCTTTCCAGCCGGTACACGTGCGGCGTTTGGGCACTGTTTGTGTTTGAGCAGCGAGAGGCGCTCGAGATAAGAGGAAAACTCACTTTTTTTTCATTTTTCCTTTTTTTTTTTTTTTTTTTCGTCTTCTTGATGCCTCCCGAACGGGCTGGACATTGACCCACACAGTCGAGCGCGTACACGCACACACACACACGCACGCACGCACGCAGGAACACACCCATTGATGGCGGGCGGCCTCAGCGTCCCGCTTCATTCAACTCTTTTTGTCGGCAACAACAACAGCAACAGAGAACAAGGAAAACAAGAGCACCGGGCCCGGCCGCCTGGCCGCCTCGGCGGCTTGACTCGCTGCGAGTGATAATGCCGGAGGAAGTGTGACGTTGTCACTCAAAAGTGCAAGCAGAGTAAAAGAACGACGAGTGTGAAGACGACGTGCCGTCCGGGGAGAGAAGCAAGCAGCGGTCTCCTCGCGGTGACGCACAGTGGGCCAGAAGACCGGTGGGGGCGGTCCTAATCCCGGACACGTTTTGAGCTCCAGAGTCGCAAAATGGGACTCGAACCGAACGTGTGACCCCACCAATGGATTGCTATGCGAACGAGGAATCCATTGGTGGGGTCACACGCTCGGTTCTAGTCCCATTCAGCGACTCTGGAGCTCAAAACGCGTCTGGAGTTTGACAGTGCACAGGCACACGGCCCTGTTGGTGACAATGTAATAGCAGTCGCTCATCGTGGTGGTGGTGTGTAACTGTGTTGCGCGACATTATGACGTCCATTTCACTTTCATCGTCACACACATCCCTTTCGCCCTATCGGTCTGCGCGCCGTGCCGCGCCGTGCCGCGCCCTGCCCCGCTCGTCGTCATGGCGATGTCACGCGCGACACGGCACGGACACGACACGGCACGGACACGGCGCCGCCGCGCGGCCATGTCCATCCCGACATTGCTATTGCAATTGCAATCGGTGTGTGACGGCGGCTGGTGCCGTTCGCGATCGCCGCCGCGTGGCGTGGCACGGCACGACACGGCACGGCACGGCCGCGGCGTCGTGAGATCTCACTGCCCTGTGACCCGCGGGGCAGTGGCAAAGCCGTGGAGTAGCTGCTGCCGCAGACTGATGCCGAACACTGCTCCGTCTCTCTCGCACCTCCGCGGAGCGTCCCGTGAGTGCGAGAGAGACGGAGCGACCGCTCGGAGTCAGCCTGCTGAGGGCGGAAGCCGGCCGCGACTTATGGCGAGCAGTGGCACGCCACGGCACGCCACGCCACGCCACGCAAAACAATGGAGAGTCATACGGGCATCCAGGCGGCAGACTTCGAACGTGGAAAAGTCATGCCCGGAACCTTGGATGCGAAACTTGGCGCGTAAACTCGAAGTACAGCGGAGGCGGCACCGCGTGGCTAATGGGCGGACCGAATGCCCAAATGAATTCCCCTGACTAGTTGTTTTCCCACTCGCCCGAAACAACTACTTCCACTGGAGTGGCGGGGCGGGCCGGCAGGATGAAACGATTTGACTGCAAAGTAGCACGGGTGTGTCAACGAACTCGTGCGTGCGGGCAGCGCGGGCGGAGGGCCCCGAAACAGTTTGTAGAACCTAATTGAAAAGGCCGCCCTGGGCCTCGCCACGGCCTCGCCCTGGCCGGGCCGCACACGCTGCCGGCACGCCGCCCCGCGGAGGGTGCACCAAGTGTGAAAATTATTCCGGTAATGTGATTGCACTGCGTGGCGGCCCGTAAATTGGCCCGCCCGGAGGAGGTCCTGGAGGAGGTCCTGGAGGAGGCGGGTCCTGGATGGAGGTCCTGGAACGAGGTTCCAGGGAAGTGGCGCTAATTCTCACACGTGTCTTCCTTCTGTTGCAGGGAGCGTGGTTCCGCCCAAGAGCATCGCCGAGCTCTCGGACCGCCAACTGTCCGGCGGCGTGCAGCTTCCAGGTTAGTCTCTAATCCATTGGTGGGGTCACACGTTCGGTTCGAGTCCCATTTAGCGACTTTGGAGTTCAAATCGCGTCCAGAATTTTGGCCGCCTCAGGTCTTCTGGCCCACTGTACCGCGGTGGCCCGCGGTGGCCGCTGGCGGCCATGTGGCCCACGGTCGTGGCGCCGGGCCCGGCCGCCCCCGTGTCGGACAACAAGACCGTGCCGTGGGCTGGCCGGGCAGGCCGGGCAGGCCGGGCTTGACCTTTGCAATCGAGAGATGAAAGGGTTCAGTTATGCCACGCTGCACACCGCGGCTTGGCGGCCGCGTCGCGCTGCCGGCCGTGCGACCCGTCTTTCATGAAAGTGAAACTGGATGATGGCGGCCAAGGCACGTAATGTCCACGGAAAGCCCCCTCCCCTCCCCTCCCCGCGCCAATCGCGGCCGGTGCAGCTCGATTGCTCATGATCGGTTTTCGATCACCGGCGCGGAAGGAAATCAATTTAGCCGGTCGATGGGCCGGCTGCAGCGAGATCATTGCAGTGCGAGCTAACTTGACAATTTCTGGCGCCGCCGCGCCGCCGCCGATGCTTAATGTCGTCCTGCCTCCAGGTGTCCACGACGTCACCGGCCGCCCGCTGGTGCTCTACGACGTGGAGGCCGCCGAGGCCGCCAGAGTCACCACCACCGAGCTGGCCGCCGCCCTCTTCTACTTCATGGCCGTCGTCAGGTACAGTGTGCAGCCCGCTCGTCTGCTGTCGTCGGTTTTCGCTGAATGGCGAAAATTTCAATTCGCTGTGTTTTTATTTGTTTTTTGCTGTGTGTCTGTAGGCGTGACATGCGCGGCGACGGCGTGACGCTGCTGGCCGCGATGGACACCCTCCCGGACTGCGAGCAAGGCCTGCGGCGACTGCGCGCCCTGGACGAGGCGCTGTGCCTGCTCACCGTGAGTCCGACCGTCCAACCGGCAAACTCTCGGTGACAGAAAGCGAAATTCGGGAAGCAGCAACTTGGAGCCAGCTGCCCGCCGCGTTGTTGCGAGGAGCCTCCACTGGAAGACCTCACGTGCCGTCCGCCAGCGAAAGTTAAAAATAAAGTGGCGCACGGGCAACGAAAGTTTTTTTTGTTTTGCTTTTTTGCGACGTGACACTGCGCGGGTCAAATGCCTCGGCCGCCGCGCACCGCGTTAAGGCGTTAAGGCCGCCTCGCTGCCTATCTCGAGGCGTGTTTAACATACGGCAACGCACGTGCCAGGCCCCGCCCTGGCCCCGCCCGCCGCGTGCACGTCGGAAAACGCGTCGCCCTCAAAACACGAAAACAAAAACCGAATTTTTTAAAAAATACAACTTGGTTGTTGACATTTTGTTTTTATTTTGCAAAACGGTTAACAGTTGTGAGCGCGGAGTAAAATTATTGAGCTGTCTGTCGGTCGAATCTGCGCCGAGATCTCGTCAAGCCGCAAACATGCGACGCGTCGTTAACGTTTCTGTCTCTGTTCCAGACGGACGTGAAGCTGTCCAGCATGCTGGTGTGCCAGACGCGGCCGGGGTCCCCCACGGGGTCCCCGTCGCGGGCGCGGCCGGCCAGCGCGGCCCGGGGGAAGGGGGTGCTGCCGCTCAGCGACGTCCAGGTGAGTCCCTCTCTCCGTCGCACTGCCGCGGCGTGCCGTCCGGGTGCGAGGGAGACAGAGCGCCCCGGAATCGCTCGGCAGATCGACTTGGTCGCCGTCCAACGCCCGGTCGCGCAGTCGCGGCCAATGAGCGCGGCTTTCCGAGCGATCGAAGATGAAGTGAGGCAGGCGAGGCAGGATCGAGGACGAGGGAGGAAGCGGGGGTGGCTCTCGGCCCTCTCGGCCTTCTCCTCGCACGCGAGCAAAGTCAAAAGCGAAGCCAAGTCGGGTGGCTGGGCGTGGCGGTGGCGGCGTGACCGCGCAGTGCCCGGGGCAGCACTGCCGCGGAAGCAGCTCACTCGGCCGCTTTGCTTTTGTTTTTGTTGCAGTTCCACATCCTGGGGGACAGCGTGGCGCAGCGCAACTTCCTGACGGACGGCGCGCTGCCCGCGCGCTGCGGCGGCACCCTTCGGCACAACCACGCCGCCTGGGTGGCCTTCTACCAGGACCTGGAGCCGTTCCTCGAGGCCTGCCAGTGCTGCGGCCGCGTCCTGGCCGCCGTCATGGGGCAGCTCGCCGACCCCCAGCCCGGCGTCCAGCACGGCGTCCAGCACGGCGTCCAGACCGCCGCGGGGCCCGTCGCCTGCAGCACGCCCGGCGCCCCGCCCAGCAACACGCCCTGCAACACGCCCTGCAACACGCCGGAGAGGCCGGTAAGTGTTGCGGTGTTTGCTTAAACCGTTCCGGTATTCCAGCCGGGGGCGGCGGCGCGGCAGCCCTCGTCTCTCTCGCACTCCAACGGGACGCTCCACGAGTGCGGCAGAGACGATGCGCCGTTTCGGAAGCAGCCCACCGCGGGCGGCGCCACGGCGTGGAGGTGCGCGTTCGGAGTCCCGCTCCGGCCCCCGCGGCCCAGAGGCCCAGGCGTCACGAATGTGCCCTGGCCGCCCTGACCGCCCTGACCGCCGGGCACAGGACTCCGCAACGCCAACCTCGCATCGCTACGCGCTACGCACCGCCAGACCGCCAGAGCGGCCAGCGCCTGCGGCCCGCAGGGTAGGCAACCAAACGCACGCCGACCGCCCCGAGTGGTCCGCGCCAGGAGACTTGAACGCAAGGGCCTCGTCGTCTCCACTGTCCGAAAACCAACAACAACAAGAATGGATCATCTCTACGGCGGATTCGATCTCGCACCCCACTGTCCGCGAGCCTCCTCCTTGACCACGCGGCTATAACGGCATCTGCGATGGGATCTAATGGAAGTGGTGCCTGTTCCAGGTGGACTGCCCGGCCGGCCAGGTCCAGGAGGCGGAGTCCTCGGAGCCCTCGGGGCTGCTGCACTCGGAGCAGAGCGCCCTGTGCCGAGCCCTGTCCCAGCCCGCGCTGCTGCGGCTGCGCAGGGAGGGGCCCCGCGTGCTGGCCAAGCTGCGCGACTACCAGGACAAGCTGGCCCACAGCGAGGACGTCAGGTTGGTACCCAACGCGATAAAAATAGAAATAGACACTAAAAATTTGAAAATGACATTGGAAACGGCGAAGCTGCTGCCGGGAATCGAACCCGCACCAGGGAGTGGCAAAAGACCAGCCAGTAATTAACGAACCGAGCCGGGTCGCGATAATCCGCGTAAAAACGGTCCTGTACTCGGTATTCGAACCTCGGTCCTTGTCCTTCCAGGCTGTCGCTGGAGCGCGCGGAGCGCCTGTACGCCGAGGTGGACCGCACGGCCGTGCGCCTGGAGCAGCTCGGCGAGTCACGGCGCGAGCGGCTGCGCCACGCGGCCCGGCTGCGCGCGCTCCGCGAGGAGACCACGCAGGTCCTGTCCTGGGTGGCGCACACCGGCGAGGACTCGCTGCAGCGCCACGCCAACATGGGCAGCACCCTGCCCGCCATCCGGCAGCAGGAGCTCGAGTTCGACAAGTTCTACTTCGTCTCCATGGTGAGTGAGTGCACTGTGCAAGCCATGCCGGGCTACGCGCCGCCTCGCGCCCAGTGGGCAGGCAACCCAACCGGCGTGCCGGCCTGGGACCGGGAGTGCTGGCTGAGCCCGGCGGGTAGGCAACCCAACTGACGGCAGACAACGTGCGGGTAGGCGGGACGCTTCTGGCAATCGCCTCGAGGGCAGGCAACCCAACTGCCGCGTCGTTGCAGTGTGAGGCGAGGTGCTGCCCCCTGCCCCGGTAGAGGTACCCAACACAAACAGCGCTGCCTTGTGTAGTGTGGGTGCGTCATGGGATCGCGCCCTTTAAAAACGCACGTTAAAAATGCCCGGCCGCGGGGAAAAACATAAGAACAATGATAGAAATTTTTCGAAAAGTGCTGGGACGACAGAAGGGGTGTTTATCAGTTTTCAAATTTCTGGAAGAATCGTCTGGAGTATTTTCTACTCTTGCTTTTTCTAGCAATGCGATGGATATGATTCCTTGTGTACATTTTATTCTGCAATCACGCCTACTGGAGCGTCGAGGGGTCTCTGCCAGTGGAGGCGCCAGGCCTGGCCGGGCCTGGCCGAACCCCCGCCACTCGCAGCGGGCAACAGGTGCCCTCGCGGCGGGTTCGTTTGGGGTTGTTCGGAATTAAAGCGCGCTTTTCTGGGCAACGCCGCCAATTTTAGGCCGCGCTCGCCGCAGCGCTGCAGCAGGCTGCCAGGCGGCGAGCGAGCCTAACCGCAGCGGAGGCAGACTCGACGAGCTCGACGAGCTCGGGGACGTGCAGCATGCACTGCAGCGCCTCACTTTGGACGACCCGACCGCAATCCGACCCGCGACCTGCTCCAGACGAAGCGTTTCCAAGTTTCTCAGTTCGCGCCTGGCGCACGCAGTCGCTCTGTCTCTCTCTCTCTCGCACTGGCAAGCGGCGTGCGGCATGTGTGCGACGGAGCCAGCGACAGTCTGCAGACAAGACTCGCGAATCGCGTATGCAGGACTGTCGTCCGCAAATGACGTAAGGCACGCCGCACGCCGGATCGACCGACGCGGGGGGCGGCCGCGTTACAGAGTTACAGGCAGTGGAGCAGTGGGGCAGGACAGGCAACCCCGTGGAAAGGCGCGGCAGTGCCGAGTCGAGTTTCATCCGGGTCAACCCCTGGTGTCAGTCAGCCAGTCAGTCAGTCAGCCAGTCAGCCGGTCAGTCAACCGGAGTACGGCTCTTCGTTCTTTCCAGGTCCCAGGCCTGGGGCGACTATTGGCAGGACTGCGCTGCGCACTGCACCCTCTGCACCCCGCACTGTAGGCACGTTGTTTCCAGGCGGCATTGTCGCTACTACTGCACGGCGTGACACTGCGGCGGCACGTCCGCGGCTTTGCACCATCGGACGTGTTACGCGTTAGGGGTACGCCCCGCCCCGCCCCCCCGCATCGCTCTTGCCCAACGCGTCGCTCCATTTGACAACCCCTTGTTGTCGAGAATGATGAGAGCACGTGCTCGCCGCGTCTCAGTTTCCAGCGGCCCGTCCGTCCGCCCATTTGTCTTCGTATTATCTATCTGTCTGTCTGTCTGCCTGTCCGTCCGTCCGTCCGGCGCTGCAGCCTCCCCAGTAGCGGACCTCTAATTAGGAAGGCGGTGGTTTGTGACGTAACTCCGCGGCGGTCGAGGCGCGCTGGAAGCGCTGGAAGGAAGGTTGCGAACCCTGGCCGGCCTGGCCGCCCTGGCAGGCGAGTCGTATGGCATGGTGCTTTGGGCTTTATCAATTAGGCGTGTGTAATAAGGCGGTGAAAGGGCCGGCCGGGCCCCACTCAGCCACACTCGGCGCCTTGCACCGCCCGCTAGATGGCGCACAAAGGCAGTGCTGCCAACTGCAGGCACACTCCCAGAAAAACAAGACGCGGCGAATCAATTTCTTTTGACTCACCGCGGCTCTTTGGTAAGTTGAGCCAGTTTCCGAAGATTTGCGTTTTCCCAAAGCGCCTTCGTTTGACTCAGCTAACCGGGTTTGCGGTGTCCGACGTCAAGTTTTTCTCTTTTTTCCCCCGAAACCGCAGCGCGGTTGCGCCGTTTTCGCCGTTTTGGCGGTTGCCTCGCTCGTCGGCCCTGCTCCACCGCGGGGTCGGCGCGGTCGGAGGACTGCCCAGCGGCCGGCGAGCGGCTCCAGGCCGGCCAGGACGCCGCAGGCCTTGTCCACGACCTCTGCCTGCATCCTCGCTGTTGCCAAAGTCGGCGGCCGCATGACACATTAGGGGCCTGCCTTGCGCAAGGAGAGGCTTCCAAAAAGATTCGCCGTCGACCGCCACCCTTCCGCGTCAAACAGCGTCGCTGATGTGTTCGGGCCGCATCGTCGGAAAATGGCGTTGTTTGCGCTCGGCCTCGTCGGGCCGCCAGAGCTGACCGATTCCGAGAGTCGTCTTCGTCGCTCTGTTTCTCTCGCACTCGTGGGGCGTCCCGTCTAGGTGCAAGAGACACAGAGCGACTCAGGCCGTCAGCCTCGCCCTGCCGCTGACAGAGCCGCTGAGTGCGCGACACTGTAAGTAGGTCGCGGAGACGGTCGGCCGGCCGCTCGGTCCGGGTGGCCCTTTTCGAAACCGACCGCGATTCCTCACATGTTCGCATGCCGACTGGTGCCGCGGGGCGACGCGAGACGCGACGCGAGAGGACGATGATGACGGTCCCCGCGCTGTCAACGCCTCCCGTCCGCCGCTCTGCTTCGCCTTGCTCGCCCTGCAGCGCGCTCCGTCTCTCTCGCACCTACACGGGACGCCCCATGAGTGCGAGAGGGACGGAGCGACGAAAACGACTCTCGGAATCAGTCTGCTGGCCGCCTCGCTAATGCAGCCATCTAGTACGCTCCATTTCCGCACTTTCCAACTCACAATCGGCACAGTTTCCATTCCAAGCCATCGACAGTGGCGTGGCAGCGCAGCAGGGGGCAGCTCAGCGAGTGGCCGCTTCTATGGCGGGAAACGAAACGTCGTTTGAGAAGCTGTCGCGGCTACTGTACCGTCTCCGGTTGCATCACACGCACGAAAAAATTCAAGTCAACCAGAGATTCAATAAAACTAAAGTATTTTTTCTAAATTTTAAAATAATGAGAAAATGGTTAGGAGAAGAATGAGAAAGTGGTATTTTGTGACGAAGTGACGGCAAACTTTGACGGTGTGGTGGCCGGCAGACGCTCCGGCTGTGTTTGTCCCACTTGGGACTGTCGGAAGTGTCCGCGAATCCACGCTTCCCCGCCATTAGCGCCCCGAGGCTGGCCGTAGACGGATTCCGCGAGTGCTGTCTCTCTCGCACCTCTGCGGGACGCCCCGCGAGTGCGAGAGAGACAGGGCGGAGTCAGTGTGCTGGCCGGGGCTGCCCCGGGCCCCAGGGGCTGCGGCTGCAGCTCGGCCCTTAAGTGGAGGCGAGGCGAGGCGCCTTCTCCGCGTCGCTCCGTCGCATTTTTCGCGGCTCGCCGTCCAGCACACTGTATGGCGCTTGGCGCCGCTTGGCGCATCAAGGCGGTGGGTAATGGCGCCTGCATTGCGTCGCGGGGGAGGGGAGGGCGTGCCTCGCCGCGCGCTCTATCTCTCGCACTCTCTCGCACCCCGAACGAGGAATCCATTGGTGGGGTCACACGCTCGGTTCGAGTCCCATTTAGCGACTCTGGAGCTCAAAACGCGTCTGGAGTTTTGACCGCCTCCACCGGTCTTCTGGCGAATCCACTGTGCGGCACCGAGGTGGCGCCTCCCTCGCGGCGCCAAACGCGAAGCATCGCGAAGCGCGAAACGGGAGAAAGCCACACGTAAGGCATCGATTGCACGCCTTGGGCCGCCTTCCTCGCAATCAGGCACACGCCACTGTGATGCACCGGCCGGCCGGCCCCTCCACTTCGATGCCGGACAATTAAGGCCCGGAAGCCGCAGCCTGTCTCTCTCGCACTCGCGGGCCGCCCCGCTTGGCCGCTAGGGTGCGAGAGAGACAGAGCGAGCGACCGTTCGGAATATCAGCCTGGCACCTCTTGCACGCCGTCGTCGCGTCTTCCCGTTTCTTTGTGTGCTTTTTCTTTCTCCTGTTCCTCAAGTTTTCTTGACTTACAGAGCTTACTGCATCGGCGGGCGCCTTGCGGGTGGGCAGCCCGGCGACACGGCTGGCTTGCGGGTCAGGCGTTCGCCCCCTTAAGGTGTGCCAGGCGACACGGCTGTCTTGCGGGTCGGCCTACCCAGCAGGCGTTCGCCCCCTTAAGGTGTGCCAGGCGACACGGCTGTCTTGCGGGTCGGCCCACCCAGCAGGCGTTGCCCCTTAGGTGTGCCAGGCGACACGGCTGTCTTGCGGGTCGGCCTACCCAGCAGGCGCTCGCCCCCTTAAGGTGTGCCAGGCGACACGGCTGTCTTGCGGGTCGGCCTACCCAGCAGGCGCTTGCCCCCTTAAGGTGTAGCCGGGTCGGGTGGGTAGCGCGGTCTTCTTTTCGCAGTGTGGGGCGTGTCCAGAGGACGCGTTCCGACATGACGGAAACGGCGATACGTGTTCGCGTCCAGCTCGCTCGCTCTCACTCTCCCTCACTCACTCTCGGGCGCGCGCGTCGTCTGCTCCGGTGCAGCGAACGGAGGCAGGCGGCGCGGCGGCGCGCGGGGCCAGAATGCCGAATTTGATCGGGAGCAGGGCAAGCAAGGCAAGCAGGGCAGGCTGCTGGTCGCACGCTGGCCGCGTAGGGCAGGAAGGGGGGGGGGGAGCAGGTGCCGTAATCGAACAGCCTATATCGACCGGACACGTCCTGGACACGTCGAGCCGAACCTGTCAATAGCGATTCGCCATGTGGGCTGCTGCCACAACTACCGCACTGCAAAAAAACATTATTTAAAAACGATCGTGTTTTTTTTTTAAGTTTTCGGACGAACATAACCAACCAGTGACCATTCCACTCCAAGAGCCTCTTTCATCTGGCCGACGTCCGAGAGGCAGCCTTTTTTTCCCCTCATTTTTTTTTCTGATGCCTGATTGATACGGTGAAGATGGGCAGACAGGTTA